AAGCTAATTTTTTTTCATCTCTGAAACAGGTATACTAATTCTCCTATTCTGTCTCCATGTGGGATGACAGGCATTTTAAAGGGGCTGCAGGTAGGGCTACACCAGAAGACAAACACACCCTGACTTGGCTAGGAAGGCCCCCATGTCTCTGCCTATCCTGGGTAGATGCGTACGTGCGTGCGTGCCAGGCAGTGGGTGTGGCTCAAGGCAGTGTAGCACATGGGGCTGGGCTGCTATCTACCCAGAGAGGCCTTATCAGATCCAGGCTGACCAGGTTCAACCTGAGAAACAAAGAGGCTTTGAGAAGCTGACTGGGGTGTGGGACGTGGGGCTGAGCCCCAGCAGGTGCAGCCATCCAGAGGCCAGAGGGCACGGGGTGGTGGGAGCTGTCACCACCGGGAGGTTTATCTGGATAGGGGCACCCTCTGGGGTGAGAAATAGGGCTTGTGCTCCCCTTCAGAGGCCTCCATTGCTAGACTCCGTCCTCCTTTGGAAGTTGTGTTGAGCTTTTCACATAGGCTGTTAGCCCTGCCCCTGCCACAGTTCCTAGTCCCCACCCCACATCCTTGTCTCCCTTCTGACACCTTTAGCTCCAGTTATCACGTCCTTCAGCCCCTGAGGGTGCCTTGAACCTCACTTCCACACACCAGCTCCTGATGATCCACTCACCTACCTTTGCCCAAGTAATACAGGGTCATAAAGGTTCCGCCTTACATCTTTATAGTGGAAAGTGCCTCTTTCTGTTTCTGTGATGTTAGACCACCACCTAAAGAGCCATTGCCTGGGCTCAGCTCTGATCAGCACAGGGTCCACCCACTGTCAAAAGCCTTCCATGTGAGCAAAAGGAGAGGAGTGAGGCCCACTTGGCTTCCAATGGGCCATGCCCAGGATGACTTCTAAACAAGAGAGAAATCTGCAGGAATAGCTTGGCGTGAGTACATTCAGAGAGGCCCTGGCACAGACAGGAGTGGGTACCTAATTGCACTGGGCCTCTCATTGAGGGTGGACTTCCCAGGCAGCTTCAGAGACCCTCCCCCCCCCCCCCCCCCGCCACATCTAGGAAGTTTTCTAATTTCATTTTCTGAACCCCAACATTGCAGATCTCACTATCTCCAGGTCTCCCCCAGAACATGTGGACTTGGACCTATGGACAGAGGGATAATCTGAGTTCCTTCTCCACACACTTTCAATGTATGGGGGTGCTATGGTTTGATTTCAAAATGCGTGTGTTATAAAAATAACCCTCAATGTATCTGCGTCAAGAGATAGGACCTGTAAGAGTGATAAGATTGGGAGGTCTCTGCTCCTGTGCATGCATACGTGCCAATATCCTGGGGATGGGTCAGTCATTGCCAAGTGAACTCCCAATAAGATGATGTGTTTGCCCCCTTCATTTAGCTCTCCTGCCGTTTGGTATTATGCCATCAGATGGCACAGCACAGAAGCCCCTGCGCGTCCCCCCCGCCAGATGCCAACACTTCGGTAGTGGACACCCAACCTCAGGAACTATGAGAAGGAAATGGCTTTTCCTCACCAGCTACTCCGCCTGTAGTATTCTCTCATGGTGGCACTAAATGAAGTAAGGTGAAGTAAGATGGAGTGGGAGAGCAGGCAGAGAAAGCAGGAGCCTCGGGGTGGGGTGGTGTCTCGTGTTCCCAGGAAAACCAGCTTTCAGCAACAAGGAGACAGGACAGGGAGAAAGCCCTGAAAACTCTTTCCGGGGCAGCCACTGAGACCAAACGGTACTTGTGGCCCACACTGACAAGCCCCAAACTTCACTTTGGTCCTTTCCTGACCGCCACGAGCCCTCCGGTCTCGGCTTCAATCTTTGGTTTTTGTTCCTTGAATATCTATACTCTGTCATCATTTTTCTAACCAAGCTGAGCTATGTCCCACGCTGATCTGCCTGGTCCAAGATCTCAGCATCCAAAACCACGAGGTAGCGAAGAGAGAGAGAGCGCACGCGCATATGTACATCCAGGTCTTAAGGGTCCCCCAGTGGCCACACCCCAGGGGCATGGACCTCAAGGCCATAGGCAGGTGTAACAGCAACCTGCTACCTCACTGGGGGCGGGGCTTCAGGGCATGACTCAGACAGCTCCCACTACACCATGGCCACTTCCCCAGTCCATGTCGCCTACTCTTCCTCCAGTTAATGGACTCCCTGCTTCCAGGCTGTCCCTGCTACTCTCTCTTCTATACAGAAGCCAGAGAAGCTTTTGGAAACTCTGGTCATGAGCTCCTCCTTGCTTGAAGCTCTCCAGGCCCTTTCGTTGACTCCAGGCCTTTCCCCCTGCCTCCTGTTGCCTTGGCAATGAACACAATGATTACCATTACCATTATTATTAATTGAATTTTTTTTGTTTTATTTTGTTTTCTCCTCTACTCCCTGATCTGTGACCCCCTCCTCCTCTCTCTTCCCCTCCCCCTCTCCCTCTGTCCTCCATGGCCTGGAGAGCGATCTATTCTATGCACCTGTATTCTCCAACTGTTTTTTTATAACCTAATCTACCAGATAGAACATCTATATGTTTTTTTAACCTAATCTGCCAGATAGAACCAGAAAAGAATGGGAAAGAAAATGAACAAGGACATCATAACTGTCATCTCATACTTTTCATTATACAAGAGCTGTGGACCTTTTAGCCTGTGGAGCAAAGATCTGCTATAGAGAGATGGGTCCATTCTAGATGTGCCAACGCAACAGACTTCCAGGCCTGGAATGTGAGGAGTGGCCTTCCAGAGTGGTCACAAGTTCCCCCCAGGGGGAAAAAAAAAGCCCATGACACTGGTGGCCTGAGAGGCAAACTAGAAGGTTACAAATCTTACCTCCGTCCCTTGTGGTGTCACCGCCAGTGTGTTGTCATTTGGAAAATGGCAATATTAGTAAACACACCACACGGGGTTGTGATAAGCATTAAATAGGCTGCAAGGGTAAAGTCTAGAATAATGATTAGCAACAATCTTCATTAGATGACAGCCCGGGGGACCTATGGCACCAACCCTTAGGGCGACGATTGCTTGTTGTTGCTTGTTTATTTTGTGTCAAGGTCTTATGTAGCCCTGCTTGGCCTGGAAAATTACCACATGTCATGGGCATGTGCCACCATGACCTGTGTTTATTTTGTTTGGAAACAGGGTCTCATGACATAGCCCAGATTGACTTCCAATTCACAATCCTTCTGCCTCAGCCTCCCAAGTGCTGGGATTATAGGCAAGTGACACCCTGTCCAGCTCAGGAACAGTGCTTTGTATGGTTTTTCTGATTCCCTTGATGGTCCCTGGATATCGCTGCCTATTTCTCCTTGGCTGATCTAGCTCAGGTAGGAAAATTTGCCTTATGTTAGAGCAACAGAAAGTGAGGGGTGCTATTTTGTCTTGGCAATAAACTGGCTCTTCTGGAGACACCACAGCACTTCTACGTGGTGGTGTGGTTTGGGATATGGAATGTCCTCCCATGAAAGCTTGGTAGTGGTTCTAACATCTTTCCTCAACGATGAGTTCATAACTGAATGGGCTGTGAGAGGGTAGGGCCTAGATGTAGGAAGTAGGTCACTGGAGGGGTCTTTTGAAAGGTAGATCTTGATCCCAGACCCTCTACTCTCTCTGGCTCTGTTTCCCAGATGTCATGAGAGGACCCGTGGAGCTGGCAGGCCGTGGAATGAGATCTCAGAGACCATGAAACAAAATAACCCATTTCTCTGGTTTTTCCCAAGTATTTTCTCCCGGTGACAAAATGCTAACTGACATCCACAGGTCATTCACCATGTGTGAGACATTTGTAAAAATTAATTCCTGGGCCTCACATTGGAGCCATGAAGACAGAAGCCTGGAAGTCAAGAGCATCCTTTAAACAAGCTGCCCAGGTAATTCTGATGGTTGACAGCTGTTGGTTTAGGGCTTGTCCAAGAAGTCAGAATGGACCGCCAAGAAACATGAATTCCACAGAAGCTTTTCTTTCCATACTTCAGTCCATTACTAATAGAAAGGAGTTTAAAAGCCAGGCCCTCTCTGAGAAAGTTCAAGACAAACAGGAGAGCAACTTTCACTAGGGCACAATGTCCTGGTCCTGGCTGTGTGGCATGACCATGGTTTCGTTACCTCTGTTCTGCCTCTGGCACAGCTATGCTTAGGGAAAACTGTGAAAGCCCTACCCCATGCTCATTTGCCAGGTGAGAAAGGGCTTGCAGTGAGGCCAGGAGCTCTGAGGTTTGCCCTTAAAGAAAGGCATCTAGACCACCGATGCGTGACTGTAGCTAACTGTGCATTGGCCCCGCTCGGCGTCCTGGATTCCATGGCTCTAACAATTTAAATAATTTTTATTACAAAAGAAAGGAAAGACCAAAACATTCCCAAAATTCTCCCATGGGTTCCCCCTCCACGCAAATAAATAAGGTGAGGGAGACAGACTGGAGGAGGGGGTGGGGGGTTGTGGTTCAGCAGAAAAGGGAGCTTAGCCTGGGTAGGGGTGGCAAGGTCACCCAGGCTCCTCCCCCAGTGCCAGGTACTAGGGTCGCATTGCCTGGAGCAGAGACTCTGCCCATTGACAGCAAAGTCTGGGGATATATCTGCAGGAGTGTGGCCTTCAGAGAAGGTCATGTTTCAGGCTGGCCAGGCTGGCTGTGGTCTTTCAGTTCTGGGAGGCCATGAGTCCAGCCAGCTCCCCTCTGGTTCCTAGGGAATCTAGCAGCATTGACTGAGGTGTAAGCCCACCTACGGGCAGACTCTCTTCACACTGTGATCAGTGGCCAACAGTGAAGTCACAAACCCAGGCCCCAGGAAACACCGGGGTAAGCCGTCCACGGACAGATGGAATGGGGCCTCCCTGGGCACGGAGGTGGGGTGTGAAGAATCGCAGTGAGAGCTGGTTAGGTTTCAAGGTCTCTGGAAAAAGAGAGCCGACCACCCCTTGTCAGCTTAGTTCACAGCTCCACCACTATACCAAGATGAGGGCATGGGGCCCAGCACCACCTGGTCCAGTCTCAATGGTGTCTCCACTCTGGACAGAGCATGGAGACAGGTATCCTTGGGCCAGGTGCCCTTCCAAGGTCAGAGCCTTCCTGGTGAGGAGGCGTTTGGACCCAGCATAGCAGTTCCAGGAGGACAGGGGTTAGAGTCCTTTCAGCTTCCTTCCCCGGACATGCCCAGTGGATGAAAACTGCTCTCTTCTAGCAAGAGACGCCCCAGGCGGTAGAGCAGCTGAGGGTACCAATGAACCCCCTCACTTGGGGTCCAGCTGCCCCACGCCAAGCTGGGAAACAGTCGCAAGGGCCAGAAGGCCAGTTGAGCCAGGTGGTGGTCAGCCACAGCTGCAAAGCAGGAGGCCACCACATCCTCCACCACCAATGTCCCATGCCTTGTGAGTGGAGCATAGGACCCAAGGGCCACATGGGTGGAGACAGCCGCCACCCGAGCAGGCTGTAGGCCCGGTGCCCCTGCTACCAGCACGTATTGGCCTGGCTGCACGTGGCTGGCAAATGTGGCCCGGAAGTGGGCTGCTGGTTCTGTGTGATTGTCAGCAATAAAGAGCAGGTGGGCAGGCGTGAGTGCCAGCCGACGTGGGGGATCCTGGGTCTCGATGACCTGGAATGCTCTCAGCCTGTTTGGCTCACGGTCCAGGAAAATGAGCACATCACTGAAGGTGGGGTTCCCATCCTCCCCCATGGCCAGCACCCGGTCTCCTGGCTTCACAGCTGACAGGGCCACACGTGCCCCGTTCTCTAGGCGCACCTGGGCTCCAGCAGGGAAGCAGCCACCCGTCTTGGCAGCAGCCGAATGCTCTGTGGACAGAAGGGACATGAAGGTGTTACTGCTGGATGATCACATTCTCAGGTACAGTGCCCCTCTCCTAGCCACCCCAGCGCGGGCGTAGCTGCTGCTGTTTTCAGACACTCCCTTATCACTATACCTCAGCCTCGGATGACCCATCCCAACCCACAATATGGTTCTCTGTCCCTCTCCTCTCGAGCCCAAACCCTGGCCAGTGAGGGGAGCACACTGGGGCCCAAACACCAGGTGATGTCCCGTCTGGTCACCTTCTGCTGTAAAGCACCCAGAGGCTGGAGGTCAGCAGAGCCATTTGGCTGCTTATGGCCTGACCCCAGGAAATGGGGGATTGCTTAGCATTGATGGTCTGGTCTACCACTTGACTGAACACTTCCAAGAAACGGCCCTCCCAGACTGACGTTGTAAGGGCTGTGATGGAGCTGACCGTTTGAATCTACGGACGTCAGAGGAAAGCCAGCCCCTGGAGAAAACCAACTCCTAAAACACCCTGAGAGTGAGTGCTCAGGGGTGAGTTAACGGAACGGAATTGTCATTTTCAGTTCACGTGTTGGTCACTTATGCAGGGACTGGACGCAGTGGCATCAGAAGGTGGGATGGAGGACAGTGTTTGGGGTCAGGAGTCACAAACAGAAGTGGCCACTTGGGAGCTGACCTTGGGTCAGTGTTTTAGATGAAGGTGGATATGATTTTAAGAACACACAGTTGGAAGGGTCAGGTTGTGGGCAGGGGTTGTTGGTAGGATCACCCTTGTGAACCCAGGTGGATCAAAACTACCAAAAAAAGATCTCGTGTGCCCGTCTGTGAGTGCAACTACTATATGGTCCCATGTAGAGGGTGGAGCCTGCAGCGAACTGAGGCCCACAGGAGAACCACGTGAAGCATTCATGAGTGGGTTAAGTGTAAGCCACAGGGACACCAGTGAGACTGGGGATGAGAGGCAAGGCTCCAGTGCCTGCCAGTTCCGATCAACAAGGCGGCCAATCTGGGAAAATCCACTTTATTGAGTCCACTTTATTTTGGGCTTTACCCCAAAATGTCCAGTTTGGGGGCTCTGGGGAAGAGGTTGGGGACGCCTGCGCCCCACTGGGAGGCCTGACCTGCATCTGGGTGGTAGGTTCTGAACCTTTGGGCTCCTGGTCAGGCATACTGGTGTCTGGACTCACTCTGGCCCCTAGCCCCACCACGCCTTGTTCTGTATGGACCTGGATGGGGGAGGGGGGCGGTGGTGCCTGCCAGCCTGGCTTCCTCCATCTCTTCCACTTGTTCTGTCTTGCACTTCCTGTGGCAGTCTCTGGGCTGTGGACCACCACATCAGCTCTCAGTAGCACTGGAATAGACCCTGTCTCTCTAGGCTCCAGCCATGGCACTACCGGACATGGGATGAGCAGGCAGTCCAAAGCAGCTGCGGGGAGCGCCGCTGCCGCCTCCGAAATCCTCTTCCCTCGGTTCCCCGCCTCCATCCCCTGGAGGCCATCTTCACCTTCTTGGCCCTAGTGGGCCTCGCTCTGTCTGCCCATGCCCTGCGGCCCCGGCCCCGGGCCCAGCCCCCCGGCAGCGGCTCACCAGACTTGACAGAGCAATGCACGTGGGCCTTGGACTCGTAATACACCCAGTCGAAGCCGGCCTCCACTGCCAAGCGCGCCAGCAGTCCATACTTATTTCGGTCGCGATCGGAGGTGGTGATATCCACTGCACGGCCCTCATAGTGTAAAGACTCCTCTGAATGATGACCATCTTCATCCCAGCCTTCGGTCACCCGTAGCTTCACACCCGGCCACTGGTTCATGACAGAGATAGCCAGCGAATTCAGACGGTCCTTGCAGCGCTGTGGAGGGGAATGAGCTCGGAGTTAGGGAAAGGAGCCCTAGGGTGCAGGTAACAGAAATTTCGGCCGTCTCTCCCACAGCTCTCAAGGGACTTGGAAAACTTGGGAGGACCTCTGCCCTTTTCCCTTAGGAATAGAGGACTCTAAAATGTGTTCTCCCAGTCTAGCAGCCGGGAGTCCCCAGGGAACTAGGCCACATAGTGGCGCCACAAATCTGGAGGGCGCATGGAGTTGCGCACCCCCAGGGGACTCTTCTCCAGACAGTAGGGTTCCGCTTGGCTTCCTCTGCCCTGATTAGCGTTTGCTTTCGCCACAAATGTAGCTATGCTTTTCCAGAGTCGGTTTCTCGGTTTTACCTAGGCACCAAGGCCGGCGGTCGGCAGGGAGGGAGAGAGTCCCTGTAGCTCCACTCACACACTGCCTGCGGGCTGACCTGCTAGGCATGCAAGGCCAAAGGTGCCCAGTAGGTGTCACCGCAGCCCCAGAGCTGAGGCCACCAGACACTGAGCTTTGCCAGCACTGGCAGGTGCAGACCCAGCCAAGCCAGCAGCGTGGGTCAGGGGGTGTGTTGGAGGAAAATTCCAGGTCCACTTAGATCCCTCCAGTAAGTGCCACAAAAACATTCCTGTTGGGACCTTCTTTTGAGCCCACGCCTGCCCACGCTTAGCTGGAGATATGACAGGCAGAGAGCCAGTATCCTGCCCATCTGACTGGGACAGAGAGTCCCCCACCCTGCAAGGGACCAGGGAGCTCTCACACCTCCACCAGGGTGCATTGTCCCTATTTAGGAAGGGGCCGGAGAAGAACCCTAGCCTTTGATCTCAGGAAACTGGCTCTCAATCTTCAGGATTTTCCTTGAACACTGTAGGAGTAGAGCTGCACCCTGGGAACATGGATCATCAGCGGTGGCTGCCTCTTCAAGGGTCCTGGTCCTTCGCCCAGGGGACGGTGCAGTTGATTGAGGAAAGGAGGTGGAGTTCTCACCTGCGGGGAAGGGGCCCTCCACCGAAGTGAGGTGCTAGGCCCGCCAAGTATCAACCTACCTCTGCCCCACTGAGCTCGGGGCCCCACAGACCCTTGGACTTAGCCTCCCAGGAGCCAACAGTGACTATAATCCAAGGTCTAGTCAGTTTTCCCAACTGCGCAGCCTGGCTTAGGGGTGCTAACCCCCCGGGGGAGATAGCTCCATGAGCTCCTTCTAGATACTTGTGCTCCGGTCCTTAGAGCTCATGTCCGTCTGTCTGCCTTACTAGCCAGCTCCCCGTCGACTCTTCCCCTCTACCCCTCCTTCTGGTACAGAGCCTGGGCGCTCGCTGTCAATGATTGCCCAGCCTGTGGCCGGGATCTTTATCTGCATTCCTCGGCGCCCAGCCCGGCCCGGCCACCGGCCAACCTTCGGCCCCGACATCGGCCGGCCGGCCCCGGCGCCAGGGCGCATGCTGAAGGCCGTGGTTTAGCCGCTCTCTCTAAAGATTTAGAAAAGGGGCAGCTTATTAATAGGGGATGGGTCTGTAGACCCCAGCGGAAAGGGACGTATGTCTTTCCCAAGGCGCGCCAGGCTTTGGAGAAGGAAGTGTGCAACCCCGATGTCTGGTGGAGTTGGGTCCTGTTCCGCGCGTGGAGAGATCAGTTAATGTCAGCTCTGCTCCCTGACTTCCTAGGCATCCCTACTCATATTTCCAATCCTTCTCGTCCGTGCCACCAAGCTCAAGGATTCCCCCAAGCTTGGTCTCAGAGTCTGAAGGCTCCAGCACCCCACCCTTTAACCACAACCGCTCCGCTCAACCCTCGCGACAGACACGTGGGCTTACTCGGCTGGTTCCCTTTCCTACCTCTGCCTCCAAACTCAACTTTCCCTTGCGATTCCTTAAGCCGAGAGCCAGCCAAGACACGGCTCCGGGAGAGGGCAGCGCAGCCAATCAAGGGCACATGGGGAGGAAAGTCCACGGGGTCCCTGATGTTCCGAGCTCGCCTTAGGGGTGCCAAATGGCTTTGAAATGACCAGGGTCGGGCTGTGAGAAATGTTAGGCCGGGAGGGATGGCGTGGTCCCCGGAGGCGCAAGAGGCAGCCAGGTCGAGGTACCTTCGAGTGCCAGATCTGACCTGAGCTTCAGGCAGAGGGGCCGCCCGCCAACCTGCTGAGCTGTGGGACTTGGCAGCAGCAGAGAACTCCTCTCAAAGACACCGGGCGGGATCCCGGATGCCAGCACTCCCGCGGGGTCCCTTGGCCAGCCCGTCTTGGGCAGAAAGACACCCGGGATTCATGAAGGGCAGGTGCCAGGGGGGGCGTGCCAGGCAGTCGGGGAAAAGGTGCCAGGCGAGAGGATAGGGCCGGGCTGGTGGCAGTGCTTCGATGGCGCGCTGGGAAGACGGATCGCTCTCACCTGGGTCATGAGGCGGTCGGCCCCGGTGTTCTCCTCGTCCTTGAAGATGATGTCGGGGTTGTAGTTGGGGGTGAGCTCCTTGAAGCGCTCCGAGCTGCGCGCGATCTTGCCTTCGTAGCGCCCGCTGGCGCCCAGGGTCTTCTCCGGCACGTTGGGGCTGAACTGCTTGTAAGCGAGCGGCACGAGTTTGCGAGGCGGCCTCCGGCGACTGCCCACCACCCGGCCCGGCCCGCAACCCCGCGCCGCGGGCACCAGCAGCAGCGCCAGCAGGAGCAGACAGAACCGCAGTCGGGGCCGGAGCCAGGCGGGAGACATGGCCGGGTAGCCCGGGAGAGCGGCAGGCGAGGGCGCCTGGTGGGCTGATGGGTGGGCTCGTGCCTGGGAGAGCTTTGGGGGCTCAGGCGTCTGGGTGGCTCTTGGGGACTCCAGGCGGGGGCGCCATGGGCAGCGCGGCGCGGCTCGAGGCCGGCGGGACTCAGGTGCGGGGCGGGGGCCCGGGGCCCTGGCTGGTGGCGGCGTGCCGTCCCCCTCGGCGCCTCGACTCTGAGCTGCCCGGCTCGTCGGCCGCCAATAAATAGGCCGGCCCGTTTGTTTTGGCAACGCGGCGACGGCGGGGGGCGGCGGGCGGCGAGGCTGCGGGCCGCCGGGCTGGGCTGGGCTGGCCGGGCCAGCGGGCTGGAGGGATCCGCGGTTAGCACCCCGGCCCGGCGGTCAGGCGGCTCGGGCAGAGCGGGAGCTGCTGCCGTCTGCGGCGCAGCCCGGGGTCGAGTGAGAGGGGAAATGGAAGAGATCCGGGCTCGGGGCCCCGCGCAGACCGCACCCTACCCATGTCCCTGCCTCCTGCACGCTCGACAGCGAACCTGCAGCAAGGGCGGCCCAGCCTCCTCCCCCTCGGGCGGGCGGCCCCTAGGCTAGCCAGCCCTGTCCCGCGCGCTCCTTAGCCGCGCGTCCGCCCGCCCGCCCGCCCGCTGCCCTCTGCGCCCCCTGCGCGGCTGCCTGCGTTTGTCCTCCTCGCCCGGACGCGCCTCACCCCGCCCTGGTCTCGCCTCCCGGTTCCTCGCGGCTCCGGGGAGGCCCGCCAGGCGCAAACCTCCTGGACAGGAGATGCCACCCCCACGGAGACCGCAACCCACGTCGCAGCCGGACACAAGGGGCGGGGGGCAGTGGCGGGACCGCACGGCCGCCTACGGTGTCCCCTGCGGAGAAGCAAACCCAAAAGCTGGAGGCCATTCATAAACCGGTGCCCCACCCTGGCCCAGGCAATACGCCCTCTTCTCAGCTTGGAGGAGCAGGAGGGTTCTGTATCGACCCGGTGCACACTCCACGACCCTATACCTGCTGTGTACGAAACTGGGGTGGGGTAGGGGGATGCAGCCTTGTCAAGGGTCAAATAGGGCTTCTGAGTTGGAAACACTGTTAAAACAAGCCGGACGAAGTTGCAAAGGGAAAGAAGGCCAAGACTGAACAGCTAAAATGGGGATAGCCACCGAGATGGAAGGGCACTGGGCGCCCTGGGACAATCAACAATGACTTCAGGAGCTCGGGGCTGGGTACGAAAGCCCAAAGGATCCCAAACCACCGGCATACAGGCACTGCACGGGATCGCTCTGTTCCACTTCACAAATGCAAGAGGGCATGGAGTCCACAGAGGAAGTGAACGTGGGTTGTACACTTTAATAGGACATTCAGAAAGACAGAATGACTTAATCTATGCTCCCCAAACAAGAAGAGGCACAAATCACCACCACAATGTTAAGTCGTGTCGGCTGCGACATATTACACAAATTCAATAGAGTTAGAATTTTGAAAGTTCAAGCTCCCTCTGTCCCTTCCTCTCTTCCTCCTTTCTCTTTCTTTCTTTCTTTCTTTCTTTCTTTCTTTCTTTCTTTCTTTCTTTCTTTCTTTCTTTCTTTCTTTCTTTCTTTCTTTCTTTCTTCTTTCTTCCTTCCTTCCTTCCTTCCTTCCTTCCTTCCTTCCTTCCTTTTCCTTTTTTTTTGTTGTTGTTTGTTTGTTTACAGATGGAGTCTCACCTATGTAGTTCAGGCTAGCCTTCAGTTCTGGATTCTCCTGCTTCCACTTGCTGAGTGTTGGCATTACAATCGAGTACTACCATCCTAGACTTGCTAGAGAAATCATTATGATACACACACACACACACACACACACACACACACACACACACACACACACACCATCTGCCCACCTTCCTCTACTAACGGAGATTGGACTGGTGCTGCTGATCTATATTGAAGTTCAGGTCATTTGTTTTGTTCGTTTGAGACAGGATCTCATGTGGCCAAGGCTGATCCCTTGCTGTGCAGTTGAGGATGACCTTGAACTACTGATCCTCCTGCCTCTGCCTCCCAAGTGAAGGGTTTATAATTATATATAGTGGAACTTAAATGGTGCCGCTACCCCTTGCTCAAGATTCAGATCTTGAAGCACCATTGTGTCCTGAGAAAACAGAATAGTTTTGGAATATAAACATTCTCCAGCCCCCCCACCTCCACCTCTTAGACAAAATCTCACTACGTAGCCCTGGCTGGCCTGGACCTCTCTATGTAGACCTTGATCCTCTTGCTTCTGCCTCTCAAGTGCTAAGATTACAGGCTTGCTCCACCATGCCTAACTCCAAGTTCTTTGAGTTCAAACTTTAGCCTGACAGGTTAAGTGATCTCAGGTTTATTTCTCAAAGCTTGGAGTTGTAAACATTAGTAAAATTGAAAGAAATGATTGCTAGGCATGGAGCTAAGCATGTATCTCGGTGGTAGACATAAGCAGGTGTGAGAACCTGGGTCCAATCCTCAGCACGCACTGGCCCAACCACCAACAAACCACCAGCAACCCGTGCACAGAGGAACAGAGAGGCAATCGTGGTGGATTTTGCTAATCAGATAAAGCACCTATTATAAATAGAAGATTTCAGGTAGGTAAGCCTCCACAGTGTGCCTCTTGAAGAGCACATGCCTTCAATCCCTGCACCTAAGTGATCAGCCTGGCTGAGAGGGGTTGCATCTCAGAGAAACCCAAGCCAGCACAGCCGATGCCCAGGGGCAGCTTCACTGTGTAAGTAGTTCTTATTTGACACTGATCAGATCTTTAGAGACTCATATTCAAAAGGATAAGAGTTACAGTCTGAAAGAGGAGTGAATAGGTGGCTAGATATTAGATCCTCTGAAATAATCCTTCCAAAACGTTATTCTTTAAGTTTCATGCATGTATACAACAACATATGTTCATATTCACCTGCTCCCATTTCACCCAAGAAAAGAGTGCTAGGCAATCATAAAGTCTTGGGTTCAGCCCCCATTACTGAAAAACAAAACTGAAGAAAGATTGTGGGGTTCTCTAGAAGTGACCTGAAACTCTGTTTTTTTGTTTGGAGACATGATCTCACCATGTAGCCTAGCCTGATCTTGAGCTGGTAATCCTTTTGCCTCTTCTACCTTGAAATAGGCATGCCCCATTCATTATACCCTGCAACCTGGGTCTTTTAAAATTCAAGTCAGGGCCTTAAGGACTTGGATCATTGGAGCTGAAGAGACAGCTCAGTTATCAAGAGCACTTGCTGCTTTTGCAAAGGACCTAGGTTTGAGTTCCAGCACCCACAGCTCACAACTGACTCTAACTCCAGTCTCAGGGTATTTAACACACTCTTCTGATTCCTGTGGGCACTGCATAACATGCGATGCATAGACACACATGAAAAAAAAACAGACACAAAAATAAAGAATCAAAATTGTAAAAGAACTTAGAAAACTGTTTGGCTGCTTGTGTTCTTAGCTGCTTAGTAGATGTAGGATGGCTTCTGAATTGGGCCAGTTCCTGAATGATAGATATCAAACAAAGCCGAATGCTTTTTCTGATCACCACCAAGCTGCCAGCGTTAACACTAGAGAACCGAGATGTGCTGGTCTGGAGGCACCAATGATCTGGGATATCATAGCCTCATCCTCAGGAGTCAGAATCAGCGACTGCCTCTTCAGGGCACACAGCACACCCCAGCCTGAGGCTTGCTGGTAAGATTGCTCTCTTCTTTCACACTAGACCTCAATCATCTCTATTTTAAAAAACAAAGAAAATCCATTGCTTTAGAAATACAACTTCTAAAAAAAAAAAAAAAAGAAAGAAATACAACTTCTTTTCTTGTCTATAGAAGCAAAAGTTGCTGGGTGGTGGTGGCGCACGCCTTTAATCCCAGCACTCGGGAGGCAGAGCCAGGTGGATCTCTGTGAGTTCAAGGCCAGTCTGGTCTACAGAGTGACATCCAGGGCAGGCACCAAACTACACGGAGAAACCCTGTCTCAAAAAAAAAAAAGTTAGAAAAAGTGGGTTGTAAAGCATTGGAAGGGCTGACAAGATGGCTCATCAGGTAAAGACAATTGCTACCAAGCCTGTCAATCTGAGTTTGATTCCCTGGACCCACATGGTGAATGAGAAGAGCAGACCCTCACAAGTTGTCCTCTGACCACCATACAAGCCACAGGCTAGTGCTCCCCTCCTTCCCCCTCCCTCTCTCCCTTCCCCCTCTGTGTCTGTCTGTCTCTGTCTCTGTCTCTGTCTCTGTCTCTGTCTCTGTCTCTCTCAATTTAATAAAAATGCTTTTAAGGCCCAGCATGGTAACACATGCCTTTAACACCAGCACTCAGGAGGCAGAGGCAGGCAGATCTCTGTGAGTTCAAGGCCAGCCTGCTCTACATAGTTTATTCCAGGCCAACCAGGGCTGTGTAGAGAGACCCTGTCTCAAAAAACGACAACAAAATGTCTTGAGAAAGGATTGGAAAATACATCATAGGACCCAATAACTTAAACATCTGTTTGGTAAATGACCATGTTGACACTTTTAGTAAACCTTACTTTAATGCTATAGTAGAAATGCAGTTATTTATAGTATATAATGATATATACGTACATGCACTATATACTCATATACACGCATGAACTACATAGGATCCATACTGCTAAAATACCATTTTTTTCTCATAGTTCTGCCATTTGGCCAGGTTAATCCAGCTCTAAACGCTGTGGTGCTGGGCCCCAACCAGAAGGTTCCAGGAATGCAGTTAGTCAAATGTCCTCCAGTGACTCAGGGTGCAGCAGCTCTGACCCAGCAGAAACAGCACTAGACCCGGAGGGAGCAAGACATTGTCTTTGTGCCTTCCGCTCGTGTGACCTTTCAGAATTTCAGCTTTCTCATTCACAAAATAAGAATAATGCCAGGCGTGGTGCTCTGTGCCTGTAACCTCAGCACTTGGAGAGCTGAGGCAAGAGGACCGTGAATTCCCGGCTAGCAACAAAGCAACAGACTATTTCCA